TCAGCAAGTCCCTAAACCTCCTGGGGTCTGTTTCCTCTTCTGTAACAGGAGACTAAAGATGCCTTCACTCCCCTGGGCTGCCATGACGACAAAAGGATAGACTGGGTTAAAGCTCTGGCTCAGTCAGAGGCCCAGGTGGGGGCCCCAGTGATGCTGATTCTCTCCTTCCTTCTTTCTGCCTGGACCTCCTCCTGGGGCTGCAGACCCAGCTTTCTTGTGGGCAGGTTTTCTTGTAAGTTTCCCTTGAATGACCTTTCTCAAGGACCAAATGATCACAGTATTGCTGGATGCTTGGACCTGGAGAGCAAATCCGGGTCTATCCCTCACAGTCTAGAGATATATATCACAGCCCCTCTCGGCCGTCAGGGCTTCAGATCCAAGGGCCCTCATCTTCAGTCGATCCTCGTCACTCAGCCCTTTGATCACTCCACCTGCTCTTTCATGAATCTTGTCAGGTGTGATTACCTCTTTCATGAGGTTGAGTGATGAGAATCACTCAGAGTCCACTGGGACAAGCAGCTGGCAGGGTTTTTGCAGGGGTGAGGCGGGGCTGTCACATCTGCAGACTCTGTCGCCTGGAGCACACAATCACTTTCTGCTTCTTTTGTCATAGTTATAGGTGGCCTTGCACTTACCCTGCCATAGCTGGGGAGTTCTTCAAGGGAAAGAGTTGTGTGTGGACACCTGTGTTCTCTGCCTGGCCAGGAATCTCCCCCATCTTCCAAACAGAGCCCCTCAGATCTCCTGTGGGTATAGCAGCATTCCTTCTTTCACTTCACGAAACTGACTCCACTGGGTGAAACTGACTTCACTGCACAATTTAGCGGGGTGCCGAGAAGTGGCCAGTAGGACTGTGCCATCTCCTGAGACCACAGAGAGTGACTGACTTGCATATAGTCAGGATATACGTCCCCTCTAAACCTCACATTGGATTGTAATCCACAGTGTGGGAGACAAGACTTGGTGAGAGGTGACTGAATCGGGGGGCAGAGTTCTCATGAATGGTTTAGCACCGTCCCCTTGTGCTATCCGTGCGACAGTGAGTTCTCCCAAGATCTGGCCATTTAAAAGTGTGTGGCACCTCCCCCCACTCTCTTTCTGCTGCTGTCACTATGTGATGTGCCTGCTCCCACTTTGCCTTCTGCCATGAGTAAAACTCCCTGAGGCCTCCCCAGAAGCCAAGCAGATGGCGGTACCGTGCCTCCATTGCAGACTGCAGAATCGTGAGCCAATGAAACCTTTTTTCTTTATAAATGACCCAGTCTCAGGCGTTATGCATAGTAAGGCAAAAACGGCCTAACACAGCTTGGGATGGACCTGGGCCCGTGCCAGGCCAATGGGAACCTTCCTCAGCACTTCTGCTGGAAGCATTAGTAGAGATCCCTAATGCTTCTAGTAGGATGTACATAGGGGATTTTACTGGCTGTCTTGACCATCACAAGTGAAGTACCTGCCTGAGAATGGCTCTAACATGGGAAAACGAGGGTATAGAAAACAGAGCATAGTTTCTTTTGATTATGTAACCTAAGCACTTGGATCCAGCTATGCCTGAGGCCAAGAGTATCATGGTGCATTTCTTTTCTTTTTTTTTTTAAGAGACAGGGTCTCACTCTGTCACCCAGACTAGAGTGCAATGGCATGGTCATAGCTCACTGCAGGCTAAAACCCCTAGTCTCAAGCGATCCTCCCACCTCAGCCTCCAAAGTAGTGAGTAACTAGGACTATAGGTGGATACCACCACACCTGGCTATTTAAAAAAAATATTTTAGGCCGGGCGCGGTGGCTCACGCCTGCAATCCCAGCACTTTGGAAGGCAAAGGCGGGTGAATCACGAGGTCAAGAGATCGAGACCATCCTAGCCAACATGGTGAAACCCCATCTCTACTAAAATACAAAAATTAGCTGGGCATGGTAGCGTGTGCCTGTAGTCCCAGCTACTTGGGAGGCTGGGGCAGGAGAATTGCTTGAACCCAGGAGGCAAGATGCAGTGAGCCGAGGTCGCGCCACTGCACTCCAGCCTGGTGACAGAGCGAGACTCTGTCTCGGGGGG